ATCAGATATGATGAATATATGAAGTTCATATATTTTGAACTGCGATTATAGAATGATACGTATGATGCACGATCCTCGCAGTAGAGAGCGCTATTTATGCAATAGCGACAATCAGACCTGAAAAAAATCAGGCCTGATTGGACAACAGTCGACCAACAATGAGCCAAAAGTCCATCATAAGAACAATTCTATAGTACAATTTCAATGACAAAGGTAAAAAATTACAATATGATTTCAGGAGCATACTTCTCCTTTGAACGACCATCAACTCAAAGAGGTTTCAGAACTTTATTCTTGTTACTAGTCTGCTTGATGTTGTACAGATATTGTAAGGAGATATTCTGTCTTGGTCACTAAGGGAAGTCAAATGGTTAAGTGACAGAATGTGAAGATAGATGATCACCAAATGACAATCAGGAAACACCAACAACAAAATGTACTCACATGTGATACCAGGTTCAGGAATTAATTAAACCACAGTTAGGTAAATTACTTAACTGAAATTTTATATCCCTGCAAAAAGTAGAGTACCCCTGTCAGTAAATTTAAAAAAAATGTTACCTTGGATTTCCACTTGGGGCATTGTTGCCTGAGACCACAGACAAAACACCTATGTCTGGGGAGCCAACCTTCTGGACATTTTCAAAATATTCATTGGGTGCTGCAATTTCCAGAAGCACCCTGTATGCATGTGATGCTGAGTATCTGGAATGACTCAGCTGTACAGTAAATGTGAGATCCTCATTCCGGTCGACCCCAGATATCTTATTCACAGTGACAGTGACAGAGAGATCTGGCAGGATAACCTTTAGTAGACAAAACAATAAGTCAAGTGGAAAATGAAGGTTGTGTTATAATAAAATAAAAATACAACGATCACAACCTGTGTATGTAGTGGTGAGATTTTACATCCTTTCCATTATCATTTCTTAGGTTAAACACCATGTCATTGTACTGTATATGATTACAAATTTTTTCATTCGTACTTTGTGCGGAGGTTTTGTAACCTTTTTTAAAAGTTTGATGGCAATGTTCAACATGTAAAACATTTCTTATCCAAAAAACCTAGTTTGCCACACAAAAGATTAAGAACAATTAACCCTTCACTCCAAAGATCTCATTAGCAATTCTCTTTACTGGGTCCAATACAATTCTTATGATAATGGTTTGGAGAATTTTGTATTGGATTGACTAATAATTCTATAATCAGGGGCGGATCCAAGATTTTTTTTTTTTTTTGAGGAGCAAGTTGCACCACTAAAGAATGGTGTAACTGACTGGTGACCAGACATAAACAAATTGTAATAATGAATACGAAGAAGGCTTTTGCCTATAGGCAGTAACATAACAGGAACTGCTGAGAATACATATCAAACAATACAGTAGTCAGAATACCACTTGTATTAGAAAGCCCCAGGTCATCTCAGGGGGGGATGCACACCCCCTGCACCCTCCCCCTAGATCTGCCCCTGATAATTGATATTTTACTTTATTGTCATCACTTGTCTGCTTAATATTGTATTGATGTTGTAAGGAGAAATTCTGTCTTGGTCACTCATGGAAGATAAAGGATTCGACTTAGTAAAAACCTCATTAATCAGCTGGCTACCATCCCACCAAAACTTTACAAGACATTTTAAATGTCTGCAGATGAAAACAAATAGTAGTTTCACAAAAAATATCATTATTTCCTTGCAAGTACATCTCATAAACTTACAGTGGACATGTACACACCTTTAGTGTCAATGAACTGGGAACTTGAGGTCTTCCATCGACAATTGTATCAGATACAATTGCTAGTCTTCTGCCATTTGTGTTCTGAACAACATCACCAACTCTCATGGTTGCAGTATATGTTATGGTATTCTCTGACAACTGGGTGTAGTTTCCAACATTCAAAACAGTTCCTAACTTGCTACTTACAGTAGATCCAGAGACACCGAGATCTGTAAAATAACGAGTAACAGAACATGTTTTACACAGTTTAAAAAAAATAAATTTAAGCAGTAATAACAATGGCTCAATATCTTTGAACTCTCAAGGTTTGATCACTTACTCCCTTTAGTGTTAATCAATTGTGCCTCTTCAACCTGATTGATTTTGACTATTTCTCCATCAATAGAACCTTCAAGAATTTCGGACAATTTCTTTATCATAAATGTTAGATAAACTGCATCTGAACTTACTGTAAGCTGCATCAATCTGCTTTTGGAGTGATTTTATATTCCTGCCAACAGCAGTGATCTGTCCATCTACTGCTTCAAAACCACTCCCAAAGAGTTTTAAGAAAAAATCTGCATTTGTAGACACTGGGATCTGAACAGTTGCTTGCAAAACCACATCCTCTCCAATAGTTATATCCATTGGGTCTCCGCTTGGCTCAGACACATCACTACTAACAACAGACGGAGTCAATGATGTTACATCTTTGATCCTTATTGTCTCTGTGTCAGCATCTTCTATCGGCAACCAGCCTTCACGGGTGTATTTTAGGGTTAAGTTGACATCATGGAAACTTCCTGCAGCCACTGATGGTTTCACATAAATATACAGATGTCCATACACCCAAGAAGATGCGTTCAACCTTAAAAAAACAAAGCAAAAAACTTGTCTAACACCTTGAGTATTACAAGTACATTGTAGAGTACATTTTCAGCACTTAGTTAGTCTACACCGTGGCCGAAAAGCCCCTAAGGGGGAGCGCTTCAATTAACATTTTTATTTTTATTTTTAAATTAGTTATTATACATGTTCATGTATGTAGTTTAGTCTTAACCCTTTACAGCCTAACATCAGTATGTACATTCTCCATACAGTTCTCTGTACATTTCCTAAGGTGCTGATTAGGAGAATTTGTTTAACAATCAAGGGCTTCTTTTTGGTTGATTATTTACAATATTATTCTCATGACATTCATGTGTGATTCAGGGATAACACGATAAGGAGAAATTACATGCAGATTCAAGTCACTTGAAGAGATGAAGGATTTAAGACCTCACAAAATTATTCAAATTCATATATTGTTACGTCAATCCATATTCATTATCAACTGTGTTTCTTCTAGGCTTAACCTTACCTGTAAAGGGTGCTGTGTTTGTCTACAGCTAGGAAAGTATCCTCTCATTTCACTAGGTTTGATGCTGAGAATGCTCCCAAAAATAGTGTTTTAAGAATGATACACAAAGAACACTAGTTTACTTATGAAAATTGATGAGCTACCAATTAATCACTCCGACGAAGGGCTAACGCTCAAAACGTCAGCTTTTGTAATCGTTACGGTGGCCAATTTACCATTTCAACTTTCAATTAGCCCTTCTGGCCTCGCTTGAGATAATGTATTCTTTTGAATTTTGTACTGGAGAACGAGGCCAGAAGGGCTAATTTAAATTTAAACAAAAGAATAGTAATCCGGCAGCCATTTATGAAAGTGGTCTATGTGATCGTCAGTTTTCCATTTTAATCGACCGGTGGCTGATAAATCTTGGAGTATTGTAGGAAAGAAATAATTTTAAAGTTAGAAAGATATGGCATTTTCCATATATGACCTCAGACCTTGTTCATATTTCCTTTTACTTCTGTAAACCCTAACCTCAACCGTCGTCTCATCAAAACTGCAATAACGCTAACACTTTCACATTTTGTGATCTGCATTTTCTTCTGTTTAATACTGTAGTTAAACCGGATCAACCCCAAAATATGGTAAAAAAAGAGGTGTTCTTTGACGAGCAGAACAAACCAAACATCAAAGTAATGTGGAAACCTCCGATTTATGATGGTGGAGCGGCAATCACACATTACCATGTTGAACACAAAACCGTGAAAACAGAATGGAGCCGATCAGTGAAGTCTTCTGTTAAAGACACGGAATATACATTTCGAGTTGATAAATCAGAAACATACACAGTCCGAGCAAGGGCAGTGAACAAACTGGGTGTAGGGAAACCGGCAGCAATAACAGTAAAGTTCACAGGTTGGTATGTGTGTCTTGAAAAGGCTTAAATACCTGGTTTTCGACCGACTCGTGTAGGTTAGAGTGAGGAAAAAGCAGTTCTTTTTTTGTCACGCGCTTTTCAAAAACGTCTGCGCGTAAACTCTTTCTTTACTCTCAATAATTACCCAAGTGGGGGGTGAATAGTAGTGGTTAGCTACTGAAGTGGAGGTAAATACCCACCACTTTCCTGAATGACTTTGAGGTTAATAATCGTTTTAGAATATATCACACAGAAACCGAAAAAAAAATAGTTTTCCTCTGTCAATATGCCAAATAACAATCGGAAATTTATCTCTTGCTGCGCGATTTTGTCTCTTCGGCTTCTTAGAGGGGAAAAAACTTGCTACTTACTTCCCAACCAGCCAATCAGCACGCACGAGAAGCACTGTTGATCTGTGTGGTATAATGATACAATCGCTAGTGAATTAATTTCTACCACTAATTATCCACATTTCCGGTATTTATTTTCAGCGGATGATGTGAAAAATCTTGCAAAAGCAAAGAACTCTACCTCATCGACAACTTCTGCATCCTTTGTGGTGATTCTTCTGTTTTTAATGTCGAACCCTTTAGCGTAGTTTGGCAAGTGCAGAGGAAAAAGACGTTTTATAGGGAATGATAAATGTAGATATGGAGGCCGTAAATCATTCTCCGTTGCATGAGTTAACCATGAGAAGAAATGCAGTAATAGAAAACGAAGCTTTCCTCCGGGAACAGAGAATACCGCGTTTTCCGGGTTGAAGACAGTTAGACTCCATGGAAATACGGTTTGTGTTGCATTGATGTTGAGAAAATGTGTTTATATTTCTTTCAAATCGTCATCACCAGACAAGAGAGGATTGACTAACGCGACTGAATCTTCCATACGGACCTGGCCTTTATGGACCTTGATTCCTTGGATCTTATTTGTGAGGTTGTTATTCCTTAGGTCCTTATTCCTTATATCCTTATTTCGTAGGTCCTTATTCCTAACGATCTTATTCCTTAGGTCCTGATTGGTTAGGTCCTCATTCTTTAGGTCCTTATTCCTAACGATCTTATTCCTTAGGTCCTGATTGGTTAGGTCCTCATTCTTTAGGTCCTTATTCCTAACGATCTTATTCCTTAGGTCCTGATTGGTTAGGTCCTCATTCTTTAGGTCCTTATTCCTAACGATCTTATTCCTTAGGTCCTGATTGGTTAGGTCCTCATTCTNAAGGTGACCTTTAAGTTTTCAGGACTGAAAGCGGTATTCGTGTATTATACATTCTTATTCCCTAAATCTTTCTTTTAAAATATATCCTTCAGATTTCCTTTCACTCGTTTTAGCCAAACTGTTATCATTTCATGATTTTCCAATAATTTAATTTGTTGAGGCAAAAAGTTTACGCCAAAAAAGGCTTGCCAATCAAGAAGGAAATTATGACAGTTTAGTTAATTTAAACATTATTTATCAATTTTAATTACCCCTTTTAGTTCTAGAAAAACTTTTGTTTTTCTAAAGAACCCATGCATGATCGCCAGAGAGAGATAACCGGACAAGAATGGAGCAAATCTATAACAAATATAAAAAACTCCTTATTTTTTATTTCCAAAGATTTGGTAAGAGAAACCAGATGTTTTACTTCAGTTTGGAGAAAAAAACTAAACCTATAACAACAACAATGAATCCCCTTAGTTATCGCGTCTATAGAAGGGAACATATCACAAAAGACAACGGTTATATCGATCACAGATAAAATATATTTATAGATATTAAAAGAGTAAATTTTCTTCCAATTTCTGTTGGTTTCTTGACTCCAAAATTGTAACCACTAGCGGTAAGTATTTTCCCATCAACAAATGATGTTAATTTGGCCGTGAAAGATGTTTTGGAAAATGTTTAATTTTTTTTATGAAAATTTTTATCAAAATGAAAGGTGTTTCCTATCTATAGCGAATGCAAATATTATTGATAAAATATGGTGTCTTCTAATCGATCTCGCCGCTCAAATTAATTAGGTTACAGTTTTCAAGTCTGTTTGCGGTGTAAAATTTACCAGACAATTGCGAAAACACTCTATTCAGCAGAAAATATCTTCTTTTTATGATCTAGCCTTCTAGCCTGTGCAAAGTGCTTTTTTATACTTTTAATTAATTTTTCTCAGTGTCCTTTATTATCTGTTGAAAAAAGTGTGGGTTGTTTGTATGCTTTGTTTTTCTTCACAGTCATTCAAGACCTTTTTTTTTTACATTGCATTGGAACTCTCTTTCTGCAAAATGAAAATAACGTAAATGCTTCCAGAAGAGATATGTGCGAGTCTACATTTTTTGATAACAAACAGGAAGAAAAAATTTTACTGATAAGTTTTTTAAAGAGATTTTGGAATTGCTCTTACTTGGATAACAATATATTAGAAGTTGGCAAAGTACTTTTCTTCTTCAAGAGAAGCGTTTTCTTTATGTTTTACTCTGTAAACATTATCACGTGTCCGAGTTGCACCAATCGTAGCGCCGAATCCCTGGTTTTACACGTTGCGGTTGACCGCGTGTATTTTAAGATATTCCACTTTCTGTTACTTTCATCAGCTTTTGCTTTATCTTCAGAAATCAAATATGGGGGTGACCCACCCACATTGTACTCATGTGTTAATATTTCTATCAGTTTTTTTCTGGAGTAAGTGCATTTACTTGACGCCAGCCGTGTTGTTTTCATTCCTTTTAAAGAGCGGGCTGAACCCTGATTATGTTTACTGTATTTTTCCTCCTCGCAGTTTCTGTGGCAAGTGCATTCGCTGTAAACTTTACCACAAAACCCAAGGACGCAGACTACTTTGTAGCGACCGATGCCATTCTTCGATGGGAATATTCCAGCCGGGACACGATCCAGTATGTAAAATTTGGAGTTCAAATCGGGACAGACGATGTTGCTATTGTAGTGAAAAATGTTACTGCTAAAACCGTTCAGTTCAACAGCTTGGTTCGGCTAGAAGTAACAGCATCATTTATCGGCCGAGTGAGCGCAGTGAAAGACGAACTAGCAAGTTTCAGGATTAAAAATCTCACGCTGAACGATACTGGAAGGTATTTTTGCAGTTTGGGCCCGGGAAAAGGGACTTTGTCTTTAGTTGAGTATGTCGAACTGACCGTTGTAGGTAAGTATTACACAGGTCACAGTTCTGCTTCAGTTTGATGGTTCTGCTTTCCTTAATAGGCGCGAATTTTTCATTCCAAGCGTAACGATAAAATAGTACGAACAATTAAAGCTTTTTGCGCTTGCGGCATATGATGTACGTAAACTTGTTTTGCAAAAGTGAGCCGCTCTTCAACATCT